GCCAGCCCCCAAACCCCAAACCCTAAACCCTAAACCCTAAACCCTAAAGCGTGTGCGTTCAGGTGGTGGAGTGTCTGGACCCCGGGGGCGAGTGGATAAGCCACCGGCTGTACAGACAGCACTGCATGCGTGTGGGGTGTGGGGTGTATCTGAAGGACTTGGAAAAGTTGGGAAGAAAAAAAGAAAAAATTTGTTTATTTGATAATTGCATTTTCTCGCTGCTGCTGCAGCCCAGCAGCGGAGTGCCCGTCAAGGCCTGGCGAGGCGACGCAGCCGACAACGAACTCTTCAAAGTCCAGCGCCTCCTCCACGTGCCAAACCCTAAACCCTAAACCCTAAACCCTAAACCCTAAGCCCTGAGCCCTGCGAGCCAGAATAAGCGGGTCACAAACCCTAAACCCTGAGCACTTATATTCCCCGACAAGCCAGAATGAGCGGGTCATAAACCCTAAACCCTAAACACTTGTAGTCCCCGACAAGCCAGAATACGCGGGTCGTAAACCCTAAACCCTAAACCCTAAACCCTGGGACTCCCCCTAAGACCCAGAACACCCGGGACCCAAACCCTAAACCCTAAACCCTGGGACTTCCTAAACCCTCGACGCAGCCAGCGCCCAGGGAGGGGCCGGAACTGAAGCCCTAAACCACAAACCCTCGCACGCAAACCCTAAACCCTAAACCCTCGCGCGCAAACCCTAAACCCTAAACCCTAAACCCTTGCTTTTGTGTTCAGGAACTTAGTAAAAAGGAAAGCTTCTCCGACTACTTGGGCCAGCGCTACGGCTTCAAAGAATATCTGGACTCCATTAGGAGCGCTCAAGAAAACCCTAAACCCTAAACCCTAAACCCTAATTATGAAATCTTTTCAGGAAATTGATGGACAACCTAGGGTTTGGGGCTCGGAGTGCTTAACGCTTTTCTCGGGCCGCCGACCCCAAACCCTAAACCCTAAACCCTTAGCGCCAATTCTGGGAGTGGCAAACCCTCGTTTGCATGTGTTTACTGTTGAGGCTTCCAAACCCTAAACCCTAAACCCTAAACCCTCGAATTTTAGGTATTTATGCCGCGTTTTAATCTTCAGATTTATGCATTTTATAAAGCAGCAGAGGAGGTTCAAATAAGCGGAGGCAAATTAATGCAGTGGATAAAAAAGTTGCAAAAAAAGCTGGCGCAAAGCTAAACCCTAAATCAGGGTTTAGGGTTTAGGGCCTGCACAAAGGTGGCCCGCGAGGTTCACGAAAACCCTTATTTTGCCGGTGTAGCTTCCTGCTACAACCACTAAGTTTGCTGCGTCCGACCTGAAGACCACCCAAACCCCAAACCCTAAACCCTAAACCCTAAACCCTACAAAACCCTAAACCCTAAACCCTAGCCCCGCGCTTAGTGCTACTTGTGGCGCTCCCCAGCCCGTGGCGCCGCTCCGCAGCCGCAGCCCGCCCCTCCCCCGAAACCCAAACCCTAAACCCTAAACCCTAAACCCTAAACCCTAAACCCTAAACCCTCACTGCTGCTTGCAAAGCTCGTAGCAGCTCGCTGGCAAACCCAAATGAATTCTCTTTCCAGCCCTCCAGCAAAAAGATCTGCTGTCGGGGGGCCCCTTGGGGGCCCCTGCTGCAGCAGCATCAGCAACAGAAAGTGCAGCAAGAGAAGCAGCACACAAGTCGCTGTCGTCCGAGTCGCACTCTGCTGCTGCTGCTGCTGCTGCTGCTGCTGCTGCTGCTGCTGGCGGCGGTGCTGCTGCTGCTGCTGCTGCTGCTGGCGGCGGTGCTGCTGCTGCTGAGGGCGCCGCCGCTGCTGCTGACGGCGCTGTCGCTGCTGCTGACGGCGCTGCTGCTGCTGCTGACGGTGCTGCTGCTGCTGACGGTGCTGCTGCTGCTGCTGCTGATGGCGCTGCTGCTGCTGCTGCTGTGGGCGACGGCTTGGAGTTGCTGCAAGCAGGCGAAACTGCAGCAGCAGCAGCAGCAGCAGCTGCTGCTGCTGCTGCTGCGGGCGCAGGCTCGCAAAGAGACTCCCCAGAGGCCCCCCTGCCGCTGCTGTCGTTTTGGACTTTGCTGCTGCTGCTGCTGCTGCTGCTGCTGTTTCTCTTGATACCTAAAAATTGTTTTATTTTATTTCTTTTGGAATTCATTGACACTGAAGAGACAGAGGGAGGGCTGCTAGAAATGCTGCTGATTCCCGAGCGAAACTGCCGCTGCTGCTGCTGTTGCTGCTGCTGCTGCTGCTGCTGCTGCTGCTGCTGCTGCTGCTGCTGCGTCGGCCTGCGCGACAGCTGGGGGGCCCTGCTGGGCAGCGGGTGTATAGACAGGTAAGAGAAAAGAGCAGCAGAAAAGGCGGGGGGAGCAGCAACAGCAAAAGTCAGCAGCTCGTCAAATGCTGCACACAAAACCCTAAACCCTAAACCCTAAACCCTAAACCCTAAACCCTGAATTTTAGCCTCTTCGTTCACAGGGGCTTTATGCCGTCGTCGGATCAGGAGCTTTCAAAGCGCTACGGGGTGAAGGCGAGCCAAACCCTAAACCCTAAACCCCAAACCCTAAACCCTAAACCCTAAACCCTAAACCCTTTTTTACCTTTGAACTCCTCGAGCGAACTGTTTGTCACCCTCTTCCAGTGAGGCAAACGCGTCCTGCAGAAAACCCCAAAGCCTAAACCCTAAACCCTAAACCCTTCGCCCCACTGAAGTCCCAAACCCTAAACCCTAAACCCTAAACCCTAAACCCTAAACCCTACCTCTGGCTGTCCAGCAAGTCAGCTGCAGGGCCTCCAACCCTCCAATAAGAAATGCGGCCAATTTCGCTGCCGCAGACTACTCCAAGGCCATTGGCTCTGCACAAACCCTAAACCCTAAACCCTAAACCCTAAACCCTAAACCCTGGCGAGCCAAGCCCCGAGCTCGAAGCTCAAAGAGTGAACGCCAACGTTGCCCACGCCGACCTCTAAACCCTAAACCCTAAACCCTAAACCCTAGACCCTCACGTGTAGCTGGCCCTCAGCATTATCTGGGCATTTACATGGCCTTTGAACTTGTAGACGCAAGTCAGGCTCTGCGCAAGTCCCAAAACCCCAAACCCTAAACCCTAATTCTCAAACCCTAAACCCTAATTCTCAAACCCTAAACCCTGCTTCCCAAACCCTAAACCCTGGAGAGCACAAAGCGAGGGTTTAGCGCTCTAGCGCCGCGAGGCGGCGCGAGGACTTGAAGAGGGCCTGGATGAGGGTTTAGGCTTCGGGCGAGGGTTTAGGGTTTAGAAAAAAAAGGGTTTAGGGTTTGGAAAAGGGTTTAGGGTTTGGAAAAGGGTTTAGGGTTTACAGAAACGTCGAAGATGCGAATGCGCGAGTCGTTGGTGGCCACCAGCAGAGAAGTCCCATCAGGCAGCCACTCCAGGCTTGTCACCTGCGCAAACCCTAAACCCTAAACCCTAAACCCTAAGTCCTAAACCCTGAGAGAGTCACACGTAAACCCTAAACCCTAAACCCTAAACCCTAAACCCTCAGCCGTTACCTTTCTTCCCTTGGCAAATTTTCCCTTTCTATTCTTGCAGTCAACCTCCGAACAAAACTTCAGCGTCTGCACGCAAACCCTAAACCCTAAACCCTAAACCCTAAACCCTAAATTGTATGCCCTGAGCCCAAAGTCGCTGTTTTTACTGCCGCTGGGTGGGCGGAAGGGCCTTTAGCTCCAAACCCTAAACCCTAAACCCTAAACCCTAAACCCTTACTCGTGCGTCGTAGAAAGAAATGCTGCCATTGCGAAAGCCAACAGCCAAAATGCCTCCGCTGCGCAACACCCGAACCCTAAACCCTAAACCCTAAACCCCAAACCCTAAACCCTAAACCCTAAACCCTAAACCCTAGAGCGCTTGTTGCGGGCTCAACTTCACCGCTGGAGCGCGTTGGCGCCCGAAAACCCCCGCGCCCCCAACCCCGAAGCCCAGCCCCAAACCCTAAACCCTAAACCCTAAACCCTAAACCCTAAACCCTGACTTGGGGGATATGGAAAGAGCCGTCACCAACTCGGGAACTTTCAAATACTCCACTATTCGGGACTCGAACTGCTGGGGGGCCCCCCGGGGGCCCCCGGGGGCCCTCGTGGAGAGAAGTCTCCAGACCTGAATGGTGGCGTCGAGGCAGCCGGTGAAGATCACGTCCTGCGGACCCAAACCCTAAACCCTAAACCCTAAACCCTAAACCCTAAACCCCAAACCCCAAGCCCCAAGCCCCAAGCCCCAAGCCCCAAACCCCAAACCCTAAACCCTAAACCCCCTGGGGCGGCCGGCCTGGGAAGCGGAGGCGGTCGCGAGGGTTTGGCGGGCTGTGCGTCGCAAACCCTGATTTAGGGTTTAGGGTTTGCACCTTGAAAATGGGGTGGAAAGAGGCGCTGGTGGGCCAGTCCGTGCAGCGCAACACAGCAATTGCACTCAAACCCTTCGAGGGCCTCCACAGCCGAATCGTTTTATCCAAACTCGCAGAAAGCAGCAAAGACAGTTTTGCTGTTGGCGCCCAACACAGCAAAATCACTGAAGCCCCGTGGCCAGTCAGGCAGTGGTCCGGGCGGTCTTTCAGGAAACCCCAGCCCCCGGGGGGCCCTCCTCGGGGGAACCGCACGCCGCGCCCGGGGGAACCCGACAAGGAGTGCGAGGGGTTGGCGGGGGGGCCCCGGGGGCCCCCGGGGGCCCCGGAGAGACGGGGGGCCCCGGGGGGCCCCGGGGGCCCCGCAGGCCCGGGGGCCCCCGGGGCCCCGGAACAGACCATAAGAAAACCACCCCCGTTTGGCCTGCTGCTGCCAGCCATTCGCCTTTGGGGGATATTGTTGCAGACCACAGCGCTGCGCTGTCGCCTGAAACACAAACCCTAAACCCTAAACCCTAAACCCTAAACCCTAAACCCTGGGCGCCATAGGGGGCGGGGCGATTGCGGGCAAGGTGGGGGAGAGACCACGGAAATGCTGTCGTCTCAAACCCTATATCCCAAACCCTAAACCCTAAACCCTAAACCCTAAACCCTAAACCCTAAACCCTACCTGTCTCAACCTCCCGCACGCACCAGACCGGGGACAGGGCCTGCTTAGATTTGGTGCTGCGGCCCCTCACTGCCACAGGAAACACTCCTCTCTGCAAACAAAACGGGTTTAGGGTTTAGGGTTTAGGGTTTAGGGCTTATTACGGCTGAGGGCTCAGCAGCAGTAGTTGCGCCAGTCGACGGGGCTTAGGGTTTAGGGTTTAGGGTTTAGGGTTTCTCACCACGTTCGCACGGCTGCAGCCTAGCAAGCCCTTGCTCTGCATTGTCCTACAAACCGCAAAAAACAGCAGCAGCAGCAGCAGCAGCAAGTGGAGCAGCAGCAGCACTCAGCAGCAGCAGCAGCAGCAGCAGCAGCAGCAGTTCCAGCAGCAGCAACTGCGAACCTCCGCCAGCAGCAGCAACGAACGCAGCAGCCACAGCGGCAGGAGACATAACAGCATCAGCAGCAGCAGCAGGATCAGCAGCAGCATCAGCAGCAGCAGCAGCAGCAGCATCAGCAGCAGGATCAGCAGCATCAGCAGCAGCAGCAGCAGCAGCAGCAACAGCAGCAGCAGCAGCAGCTCACGTGGTTGTGGATACGAATGAGCGCTCCACCGGCTGCCGCAAGTTCAAGGGGCCCGCAGGCCTCCTGAAGATGCTGCGGCCCCACTCTGCAGCAGCAGCAAACCCTAAACCCTAAACCCTAAACCCTAAACCCTAAACCCTCGAGAACTGACTGTCCCAAGCTGGGCTGCTGGCTGTTGAGACTCCCGTAGCAGCAGCAGCAGCAGCAGCAGCAGCAGCAGCAGCAGCAGCTTTGTGATTTGTCTTTATTTGTTTTAAATTTGTTTATTTAGTTGTCTCCTTTTTAATTATTTTTTTTAAATTTATTTATCTTTTCAGTTCTTTGCTTTCAGCTGCTTCTCTTTTTGCTGCTCTGCGCTTTTAAGGGTTTAGGGTTTGCAGGGTTTAGGGTTTTCGATATTTTAGGGTTTAGCGTTTGAGGGTTTAGCGTTTGCGAGGGTTTAGGGTTTACAGGGGACTAGGGTTTACAAGCTATTAGGGCTTACAAGGGTTTAGGGTTTACAAGGGTTCAGGGTTCACAAGGGTTTAGGGTTTACAAGGGTTTAGGGTTTACAAAGGTTTAAAGTTTAAAAGGGTTTAGGGTCTGAGGTTTAAAGGGGTCTAGCGTTTTCGAGGGTTTTGAATTTTAAGGGTTTAGGGTTTAGGGTTTAGGGTTTAGCCCCACTTGCTGCAGAGGGAGAGCCTGCCAATGAGGGGCCCCTCTTTGGGCTTGCTGCCCAGTGGCTCTCAGCTGGGGGCCCCTGTTTATCTGCTGCTGCTGCTGCTGCTGCTGCTGTTGCTGCTGCTGCTGCTGCTGCTGCTTCTGTTGCTGCTGCTGATGGCGAGCTAGAGGAAGCATCGCTGCCTTGCTTTGCTGCTGTTTCTTTGTCAGCATCTTCGGTGTCTCCGGCCTCGCTCGTTGCTGCTGTTGCTGCTGCTGCTGCTGCTGCTGCTGCTGCTGCTTCTGCTGCAGCAGCAATCTGCTGCGGCTGAATTGTATAGGCAGACAGAAACTCCGACTGCAGATCTGCTGCCCCCTCATGCGCCTCGCAGTCCCGGGAGACCCTCTCAGCAGCAGCAGCAGCAGCAGCAGCAGCAGCAGCAGCAGCAGCAGCAGCAGCAGCAGCAGCAGCGGGTTCATGCCGAGCGCCACCCAGTGCCTCAGGAGGATCCTGAGGGGCCCCTTGCAGGGGCCCCCTGGGGGCCCCCAAGGGGGGCCCCTTGGGGGGCCCCTCGCTGAGCTGCTGCTGCAGTGACCCCAAGGGGGGCCCCCGGGGCTCTGTTGGCCCCAGGGGCCCCTCGGGGGCCCCCTGGGGGCCCTGGGGCCCCTCAGGGGGGCCCCCAGGGGGGCCCCCAGGAGGCCCCACGGGGGGCTCCCCGCGTGGTGGTTGAGCTGCTGCAGTTTGCTGCTGCTGCTGCTGCTGCTGCTGCTGCTGCTGGGGCCCTCTCGTGGCCTCTTCTGGGGCCCCGGGTTTGGCCTGCAGGGCTGCTGCTGCTGCCTTATCTGCTGCTGCTGCTGCTGCTGCGCCTGCTGCTGCAGTTTCTGCTGCTGTCTTCAGCATGGACTTCCCGAGGCCCTTTCGGAAGGGCCTGCTGCAGCTGCTGCTGCTGCTGCCGCTGCAGCTGCTGCTGCTGCTGCTCCTCGCAAACACGCTGCTGCGGAGGTCTCTAAAGGCAGCAGCAACTGAAGCAGAAACTTCTTCTTGCCAACTTTCCCGAACTGGGGGGGCCCCCAGCCCCGGGGGCCCCTCGGGGGGCCCCTCGGCGGAGGGGTGCAGCAGCAGCAGCGGCAGCTCAAACTCGCTGCTCGCTGCAGCAGCAGCAGCAGCAGCAGCAGCAGCAGCAGCGCGGCCCCCTTGGGGCCCCCGTGCTGCAGCAGGCTCCTCAGGCGGGTCCTCGGGGGGGCCCCCCAAAGACTCCCCAGGGGCCCCCAAAGGGGGGCCCCCAGAAAGGGTCTCGGGGGGCCCCTGCTGCTCTGCAGGGCCTCGGGGGGCCCCCCGAGGGGCCCCTTCACATCGTGGCGGCATGGGACTGCGGCTCTGCTGACTAGCTGCTGCTGCTGCTGCTGCTGCAGCAGCAAGGGAGGGGCCCCGGCCTGGGGCTGCAACAACTGCAGCAGCAGCAACAGGAAGATCTCCGCAGCTCCCAGGGGCGAGCGAAGCCCCGCAGCGCAGCAGCAGGCAGCAGCTGCGCGGGCCTCAAACCCTAAACCCTAAACCGCAAACCCTAAACCCTAAACCGCAAACCCTAAACCCTAATTTGCTGGCAGCAGCCGAGGCCACAGCAGCTCTCCCCGCCCGCTGCGGGCCGGGCTGCTGTCTCATTGGAAACTGAAAGTCTTCGGAGGCGAAAAGTCTTTTCTAAAAAGGGTTTAGAAGAAAAGAAAAAGAGAAAAGGGAAAAAGGCCGTTTTGCTGCAGCCGAGGCGCCGCTGCTGCTGCTGCTGCTGCTGCTGCTGCTGCTGCTGCTGCTGCTGCTGCTGCTGCGCTAGCCAGAGCCCGAGTTGGCTTTCGTTTCGAAGGCAACAAAAATAAACTGCACAAATGAGTTCGTTAACACACCTGGGAAAGGGTCTTCGTCTGTGCTTCCTGCTGTACGTACACCGCAGGGCCCTGCTGCTGAGCTGCTGCTGCTGCTGCTGCTGCATGCTGCAGCAGCGCGCAGCTGCTGCTTCTTTCGTGGACTTTGAATTATTTTCGCAAATTAAATGCAAAAATAAACTTATTTGCCGTTCAAAGAGGAAAAGCTGAACGCAGCAGCAGCCGCCGCAGCCCGCGTTCAACTTTCCGCAGAGTCGCTGCTGCCTTCGCCGCCAGCCCGCAGCAGCAGCAGCAGCTGCTGCTGCTGCATGCCTTTACTTTAATTCAATAAATTCGAATTTAAATTTGAATTTAATTTCGAATTTCCGACTCAAACGCAGCGAAGATCGGGCGGAAAACACGGAGAGGCACCGCCGCTGCGCTGCTGCGCTGCTGGCGTCTTGCTGCAGCAACAGCAGCAGCAGCAGCTGCTGCTGCTGCTGCTGCTGCCGTTTGAAACGAGCTTTCTGAAAGCTCCAAAAGAAGCAAACAAACTCGCTGCTGGCCACTGACACCAGCAACAGCCCGCGCTCGCGCTGTTTCAACTTGCAGAAGGCAGCAGCTCTTGTCTTGCTTTGCTGCACTTTATTTTCTCGATCTTCCGCCTTTAAACAAAAAAGATAAAAGATAAAAGCCACGCAATTAGAGATTAAAATTCCAGACTTCTTTCTGCAGCGGCGGAGCCCCTCAAAGCCGCAAAATCGGAACACGAAAAACGGAGAAGTGCAAATTTGAGGTGGAAAGCCGAAGTAATTGGAGCGCCAAAGGGCATTTCAGCTGCCTGAAGGACTAATGCATGCAGAACTTTGTTTCATTTTATTTATTTTATTTTGTTTTATTTTATTTTATTTATTTGTTCGAGTTTCCGCACTAGTCGGGGCCGTTCAAGTTTTTCGATTTGGGGTGTATGCGCAGCTCTGGAAAGCTGAACGCCGCGGCGATGTTCACATTTTTCGTTTTTGCCTCCCAAAAACGTTTTAAGAGCTTTTTTTGAAGATCATGAGCCCCTCTTTTTGAAATATGCGGCCATTTTTCCCCGCAAGAGCTTTTTTATTGCCGCTTTCCCTCTTTTTCCTCTCGAACTTGAATTCCTCTGCGGCGTGGCGGCACCCCGCGGGCGCCGGCGGCGCGGCGCCCCTGGTCGTGGAGGAGGAAGAGCCGTACAGGTTTGCGTCTTTGGGAATTAATTTTTCAATTTAATTGCATTTTGAATTTGTTTAAATGGACTGGCCGGCAGCGAAACTGTGCGGGTCCTGGCCGACGCGATCAAGCGGCAAACTGCGCGAAATGCCCGCGTCGGGGGGGCCCTCGTGGCTTCTAAGGCCAGGGCCTACGAAGCCAGCGAGCTGCTGCATGCAGAGCATCTTTCGCAGCTGCTGCAGGGCCTTGCTGCGGACTTGCAAGCAGCAGAAGCAGCAGCAGAGGAGGCGCAGCAGCAAATTGACGGGGAGCGGCTGCGGCACGCGGAGGCGAAGGCGCAGATCGCAGCAGACGCGCAGCAGCAGCTGCAGCAGCTGCAGCAGGAAGAAGCTGCTGCGCTGCAGCAGCAGCACCTGGCAGAGGACAAGCTGCTGCAGACAGAAGCTGCTTTGAAGGCTGGGGAAGAACAGCTGGAAGCAGCAAGAGAGCAGCACAAAGAGCTGCAGCAGCAAGCAGCAAAAGACGAGGACAAAGTCCTGCAGCTAATTGAAAAAGACCGAGAAGCAGCAGCAGAGGAAGAGGAGGCTCAGGAAGCAAAAGAAGAAAGTGAAGAAGGTGAGAAAGCAGCAGCAGCAGCAGCAGCAGCAGCAAAAAAGAAAAACCAAAAATGCCTTCTGCAGCAAACGCCTGAACCCGCCTGCTGTCTGTACACCTCGAGGACTCCGCTGCTGCGCCCAGTCTGCAGCAGAAGAGCTGCCCCTCCTGTTCAAAACCCTAAACCCTAAACCCTAAACCCTAAACCCTTTGGCCAGTCTTTGCTGCCCGTAGCGCCCAGCTGCGCCCCCAAAGACAAACGAAAAATAAAGCCAAAAGGGTTTAGGGTTTAGGGTTTAGGGTTTGCGTTTTCGCGCCGTGTCTGTCTGGCTCTGTGCGCGTTTTGCAACTTTTTGAACTGCGTGGAGATCCGGGCCTTAAATTGTCGGATTTTTTCAATTAATGGAATAAATAAAGAAAATAATTAAATTTAATTGAAGAATTAATTAATTAATTCGAAAAAACCAATCAAATGGTGCACTTATGACCCTCAGAAGCCCTCCGTGGCCCACCGCCACTGCTGCTCCAGCAGCTGGTGCTTCCAGGTGTACATACACCCCACCACGCACCCATACACCAGCCACAGCAGCAGCAAAAACTTGAAGACATAGCTGCTGCGGAGGGCTCTGAAAAACCCAGGTCTGCTGCTGCTGCCCTTGCTGCTGCTGCTGCTGCTGCTGCTGCTGCTGCTGCTGCGCTGCTGCTGCTCCCAGTACGCGTACTGCTGCTGCTGCTGCTGCTGCTGCTGCTGCTCCGCCTCTATTAAGAACGCCAGCTCCCGCTGTATGGCGTCTTGGCGGCCCAGAGTCTGCAGCAGCAGCTGCGGACTTGCGCCTCTGAGGACTTGCTGCTGCAGCACGAGTCTCTCGTGTTCCAGCTGCTGCAGCAGCAGCTGCTGCTGCTTGGGCTGCAGCAGCAGCTCGCAGGGCCCCTGCGGCGCCTGCTGCTGCAGAGTCAGGCTCTGGACGGGGTACGCGGCCCACTGCTGCTGCTGCTGCAGCAGCAGCTGCTGCAGCTGCTGCTGCTGCTGCTGCTGCTGCTGCTGCTGCTGCTGCTGCTGTCGGGCGGACACGCCGAGTGCGTTGTACACAGCTTTAAAGCCGTAAATGCTTAGCCACAAAAACGCCACGACCGCGAGGAGCGTCCGCCTGCAGCAAACCGCAAACCCTAAACCCCAAACCCTAAACCCTAAACCCTAAACCCTAAACCCTCGAGCGGATGCCCGCGGGTCCCGCAGCTGCGTCTTAGCGCGCCGCTGCGCGCGGGCACTCCCCCGGCGCAGCGCGCGGCGGCGCGGCGGGCGCAGCAGCAGGCCCCGGGCTTAGGGTTTAGGGTTTAGGGTTTAGGGTTTAGGGTTTGACCAGTGGAGCGTGAGGACGAAGGCGTTGAGGACGCGGGCGAAGACCTGCGCTGCTGCTGCTGCGGTCTGGCCGTGGCTCGAGGGTTTGGAGAGGAAGCAGCGGCGCCACTCTTCGCAGGGAGCAGCAAGAAGGGGGGGTAAGGGTTTGAGGGTTTCGCAGCGGTTTTCGCGGTGCTGCTGCCTGCAAGCTGCTGCTGCTGCTGCTGCTGCTCCTTGCTGCTGCTGCTCCTGCTGCCACACGTCCCGCAGCAGCCACACGAACAGCAGCAGCAGCCACACCCCACACGTGCTCGCCACGCTCAGCAGCAGCAGCAGCCGCGCTGCGCAGCAGCAGCTGTACAGACACCCCAAAAAACGGCCCCACACCTGCTGCTGCTGCTGCTGCTGCTGCTGCTGCTGCGCTGCTGCCGCGGGCGCCGCGGCCGCTGCCGGGCCCAGCTGCTGCAGCTTCTGCGCCTCGTACGGCTGCACCGGCGCCGCTGCTGCTCCTGCTGCTGCTCCTGCTGCTGCTGCTGCTCCTGCTGCAGCAGCAGCAGCAGCAGCAGCAGCAGAAGTGTCCAACGGAAGAGTGGCGCTCGTGCTCAGGTCCTCGGGGCCCCGCGGGCTCGAGAAGGGGGGCCCCTCGCTGCAGCTGCCCGACACAGACACTGGAGACATCCCCTGCTGCTGCTGCTGCTGCTGCTGCTGCTGCTGCTGCTGCTGCTGCTGCTGCTGCTGAAACACATTCAAATCCGGGAAGCAAGGAAGCCGGGGGCCCCTCGAGCTTCTCCGGCTGCCAGCGCGCGAGACGCAGCTGCCCCCAGACACCCAGGGGGCCCCCCAGGGGGCCCCCCAGGGGCCCCCCTGATCAGTACCCTCTCTCCGACCCCGCCGGCCCCTCTCAGGGGGCCCCCCGGGGGCCCCCGGGGCCCTCAGCCCTCGCCGGGGCCCCCCTGGGGGGCCCCTGGGGGGCCCCCCAAAGTCCAAGTTGCTCATCCTCTCCACTAGGTCTGCGTCCGCGCTGCAGGGCAGGGGGGCCCCCAGGGGCCCCTCTGCCGCAGGAGGCCCCTGGCACGACCCCCTGGGGGCCCCCAGGGGGGCCCCCAGGGGGGCCCCCAGGGGGGCCCCCAGGGGGGCCCCCTGGGGGGCCCCCAGGGGGGCCCCCTGGGGGGCCCCCCGCTGAGGAGCCAGGAAGGGCTCGGAAGCCGCTATGAGGCTGTTTTTTGTTCGCTGGAAGGCAGAGGCCCTGCGCATGCGGCTGTTTGCTGCTGCTGCTGCTGCTGCTGC